ACAAAAAGGGTGTTTACAACATTTTTGCTCTCCTAAACAATGCTCTGATGACTCTCATGTGTACATCTTTGATCTTTTGACCAATTTTTCTCTCTGTGATAAATCCCTGGAAATGGTATTGTTGACTCAAAAGATTTGGAGCTTTTGTATCTTTAAACATATTGACCATCCACTCACCGGAAGGGTCATACCAGATTATTTTCCGCCTGTACTATAACAGACTGCCTGCCTCTCCCCAACTTTGCCAAAACTGGGTAGTGTCAATGTTTTTGATCTTTGACAAACTGATAGGGGAATGAAATGTCTAATGATTTTTACATTATATTCTAGCCATGCCATATCAGACTGTAACTGAATGCAGTTGTGATGTGTCAGGGGACCTGGTTTAACTCATAGCACACTGCTTGAATCTGTTTAATAACCAACTATGATATAATGAGACTTTCCTGTAGTTTTGAAAAAGAAGCCAAACATTCACATGGTTTAAATTACTCTCTCATTTACACTCCCAAAGTGCTAGATCATCTGGGAAGCTCTTTGGAGATGCCCCAGATGACCCAGTACAAGTTGTTAGCTGTACTCCCCGGGAAAGAGAGACTGTTCTGGCCCAAAGATCGTGCTCAAGAAAAGCATCTTGGAAAAAGCACTACTTCTACATCTGAGATTGCTCCATTGGGTGGCCTGTGGCATTTGATTCACTAGGAGGTATTAATCCCTTTGCCTTCAGCAGGAATATTTTCACAGTTTTGACATGTTTTAAAGGTTATTGTCTCCAGGACAGGTAATTGAGGAGAACTCACACTTCATCAGAAGCATTTTATCTTTATTACACAGCCACACACAAGGCAACATATTTCTCTTTTCACTGATGGGTCATGCCAAGATTTACAAGTCCTGGTCTACACGAAAGCAAACACATGTTTGGGCAAAGATTCAAATAAGCCAAAGATATAAGGTCGGTGTTATCCTAATACAAAAGTCAGGACTTTCTCCTCTTCTGCCTATACCAGAAGCAGAAATATTGTTTTCAAATATGGATTCAGTTTTGCGTGTAGACACCCATGATTGGTTTACTGTGAGTTATCTTCTGGCAAGTTCATCTGCTCAAAGCTTTTTGACTGTTGTCAACTAATTAATTTTGAACCCTGGGATAACATATTTTCCTCAAATTCCTTTCAGATAGTTTGCATTCTGTGTACATTACAGATAGAAAAATGAGGAATGAGAAAGTTATCTTAAGCCAATATTTGGAAACTCAGTATTTGGAATTCTAGAAGTTCACGTTTTCTGACCTGTTCCTAAGCCCTCTTTCTAGATAACCATCCAGCAGCTACCCTGGTGTGTGTGGCTGACTTGGTTAGTTAGTTCTGGGCAGTATATCCATATGCTGTATTTTAGGTTTCTCAAGCTTGTTTCTATGACTATGAGTGAGCACTGTCTTTTCCAGCCTATTCCTTATGCTGCTGTGTCCTTTGTTCTGTCCTCATTTCCCCACTTGTGGCATCCACAGTACATTACACACACTTCACAGTGAAGGACCAGTGTGAGGAAAGCAGACTGGAAAGCATGTGCCCTGGGTCTCTAGAGCTGGGACATTCCAGGCCAGCCAGGGGTTGCTGGGTCAATAGTACCACTTAACGGGTGCCACGGTCCCCCCCAGGCCCTTTGGCTCCATACATTTCACCAATGGCTTCCCACAATATCTTCATCTTGAATACTAATTTTAGGTGCTCTCTTTAGGGTTCAATGAGACAAAAAGCACTGATTATCATTTTGTGGTGAAGAATCAGGAAAATCTGGAAAATCAGGAATATCCGGTAAATGAAGATCAAGATGCTACTTTGTAGTTCCGGTGCAAAGAGCATGTTAGAGTGAGTCAGGAGACTTGATTTAAGTCCTGGATTTACCTCTTGCTAGTTGTAGAATCTTGGGTGATTCAATTAATATATTTGAGCATTAGTTTCCTCACCTATAAGATGCAGTGAAGATAAATGAGGTCATATGTAATTATCCCTGGCATAATATTTGGCACATTGTAGACACTCATTTAAAAGATGGCTATTAGTATGATTTAAGTCCTCTATGGCTTTACATTTCTTTGATTGACTATATATCAGTAACATTTCTCTAGCCCATTTTGGCTAGGTAGGTACCACTGAATGTGAAGGAGGTTAAGTGGAATGATACTACCTGAGCTACGAGGAAAAGGGTAAAAGAAAATATTTAAATACATCTCTTTTGGGTGGCATTTATGTCAGTTGCCAATATCAATAAATTAAGTGCCTGGGGGCAGGAGAAGTTAGGATACCATATTTCTTAATAGCTGTAGTAGAATCCTTTTTAGAAAGTAGTAGTTATCTCTACATATTGTTTTTTCAGTTTTATTGAGATATAATTGACATACACATTATAAGCTTAATGTATACAGTATAATGACTTGACTTATATATATTGCAAAATACTTACCACAATAAGTTTACTTAACATTCATCACCTTAGGTAGATAGAAGAAAAAAAGATAGAAGAAAAAAAATGTGTGTTTTTCTCTTGTGATGAAAACTTTTAGAATTTACTCTTTTAGCAACATTTAAATATACGTATTAAATTTTTATATTTCCCGACTAAGTGTAGGGGGAAATGCGAAGGCTGTCAGTACATGTGATTTAAGCATGATTCTCCTGCAAATTGTTAGCATGGCTAAGGGCATCTATTTATTTGATTTAGATCAGGAGTCAACCAACTACAGTCCACATGTCAAAACAACCCCCTCCCCAGTCTGTTTTTGTAAATAAAGTTTTATTGAAACACATTTATTTACATCTATGGCTGCTTCCATGCTACCACTGCAGTATTGTTTAATTGCAAAAGAGACCCAGAGACCATATTGCCCCCAAAGTTGAAAATATGTACTATCTGCCCTTTTACACTGAATCAAGGGTTGAAAAAAAATTGTCAACCTTTGATTCAGATTATAGTAACATTGGCTTCGACTGACTAGGTAGTGGCTGATACCAGCACATAAAGTTTATACCACTGAAAGGCACATCATAGAAAGGCTGGAAGCTTAAGGAAAAGTACGTGAATTTGTTTATTTGGAATAGGATGGAGAACTTCCCTGGTACTATCATTCCTGTGAGAATGCATACACAGAGGTACAACTGGGAGCTAGAAGATGGACCTGAAGTTCCTTTAATGAGACACAGTTTCTCTGGCCAGGTTATAGTGCGTAAAGCCTGAGGAAAATCACCTCATCACATGTCTCAGGAAACAGTATTATGACTCTCTTATATAATGACTCGAGAGAAACATATAAGAGAGGTTTTCTCAGCAAGCATTATGCTGGGTGAGAAATATTTAGTAAGAACAATAAGAATTTGTTCCATATTGAGAGGATCTGTTTCGGAGCCGAGACCAAATGGACTGTCTGCCAGAAATGAAAGGTCAGTTTAGGTGACTTCACTTAGGGGCAAAGCTTAAGAAATAACAACTCGACAGACATCCGGTGAAGAAACAGGAGAGGATGTTTGTCAATCACCACAGGTTGCCGTGAACTACCTGCATGGATTTTTAAAGTGTTAAAGCCATGATGGGCGTGTGCATGCTTAGGTACAAACTGTAAAAGAAAACAAGGCCCAAATCCATTTGTATCAGAAATAGAGAAAAATTAGTTCATACGTTTGAAACTCTTCTGATGCAAAATATTGTGTAATTCATAAACAATTCTTTGTAACTGTTTTAATTCACGGTGTCTCCAGGATATAGGACTCACTAGCTAGCCTCATGGACTTTAACAATTGCTCTGTGGGTGTGTTTATTTGTTGATTACATAGCAAACATCACCCTAGAGGATGTTTAAGTTTGTGAAAATGATGAATTACGTACACAGAAAATGTGGTCATGGGCCCTTCTTTCTCTGATCACCTCCTCCACTCCCAACTCCACACCCGGCACACGCACACTGCCTTCCTTCAGTATGACACTGGCCACACTGTCTGTGAGACACACAAAGCCCATGCCCAGGATAAGCTTCTCTTTCAAGTGCCTATCGGGCTTTCAGCATGTGCTTTGAAGAGATAGTGACATTGCTACGCTCTGACATACACCGTAATGTCAGCACAGCAGGAGCAAGTGGAAGAGTCTACTTTTCCGATAATGATCAGTTGCTGTTTCCTGTCTTGAAGACGAAAGTTGAGTAAATGCAAAGGTCATCTGTGTTTATATTAACAATGCAAGAGTTACACTACATTTTCGCAATAACACCAGGTCATTATTTATCCACTTGTCCTTTTTTTTAATCATCCTTTGAACTGCCTGCATTTGCTTATCATGATATTTCTAAGTCTGTAAACAGCCCAAGTGGAGTCGTTCTATTTCTCTAAATAGAGTCTTAGGTCATTTTATTATCCAGCATTATAAGTCATAGGAATTCACCCATCTGTTGTCCTTCCACATCTGGGGCAACATTAACTCTTTAAGCCTATGGAAAAACTAGAAAAGCCATTGTGACATTAGCTTGTTACTTTTTCCTACCACATTATTTTCCAATATATCTTTTCCCCTAAAACTATCACAAAGAAATCATTATATATTTGTTTCTTTGGAAATGGCCTTAAACATATGCCTTCTCTCCCTTCACTTGGCTTTTTTCTCTGGGATCATTGACACTCAGAGCCTCTTCTTACCAACTCAGAAAAACCTTTAAAGATGGGAAGTCAGAGCATATGAGTCTGCCTTTTCAGTGGCCAGTGGGCAGATCTCCGTAACAGTGGAGGTGTGAGTGAGACAAAAGGCAGTTTAGCACCAACAATCTTGTCAATTTGCAAATCATTATTTTAGATTTCATGACATACACGATTACACTTTCTTGCATGTGCATTTGGCGGGTAACAAAACATTGGAGATTTGTTTTCAATCCATTTGACTATTCACAATTTGATAGCTCCTTCAGCAATGAAGAAAAAAAATGAACAATCAGGTTTGAATCACATGATGAGGCAAATCACAATTTATCAACTGATTATGAGGCAGTTCTTATGCATGGAATGGGATAAGCTCTTTTTCAATCATCTGTTGGGGAAAGAGGCTCAACATCAAGGAAATTGACACATGTTTAATTACTGATATTGACTAGCTTATAAACACAATGTGAACAGAGGCCGTTTCAACCACACAATTATTTTGTTGCAAATGGTTATCTAGTTTCATCTGGAAGAGGCTGGAGTGTTTTCTGATAACAAACTACCCCCAAACCTTGGCAGTTTACAACAACCAAGGTTTATTTTTCAAATATACTACCTTCCCAGTGAGTGTTAGGAGAGGGTTCTGCTCCACGTCTTTCTCTCCATGGGACTCACAGTGATGGAGGAGTCTCTCTTTAACGTTGATGTTCATTATGGCAAAGGCAAAGGTGAACCTCAAGCTATGACTTAAGCTTCTACCTAAATTTCACACAAATTGCTTCCACTCTCATGTCCATTTCAGCGGAAGAGGAAGTCAATCCAAACCTGATTTCAGTATCTTAGGGAAATATAATCCCACATACAGAGGGGAAGCAGATATGATTGAATGGTAATAAAATCCATTATTCCATAAATCCCCCAATAGCACTGATTTATTTGAGTGAATTCTTTTTTTTTTAATGGAATCAGCTAAACTAGTTCTAAAGCAGGGGTCTTATTGTTTAAATATGTTGTCTGACCTTGTGAGCAAATTTCAACCAGAGGCTTAAATAGATGACCCATTTTAGGACTATCACCACCCATAGCACTACAGGTTTTCCTGCTTAAGGGTTTCACACTTAAGTGTGAAATAGGTACATCTTTTACCAAAAGGGCCAAAGGATCCCTCCTGCTCTGTTAGATGCTGGCTTCCTCTACCAAGTTACTAAAACTAGTTGCAAGGTATTGAGGTGTCACTCTTCAGCACATTCACAGCGTCTGTGCTTATGACAGCTCCCTGGTAATTCCTCATGATTGCATCACTCCCTGATGGAAATCCAGCTTTTATTTCAGCAACAGTAATGGGTTGTCCTGGACCCCTGACCTCACCTGAAGATGTCTTTATGTTGGATTTGCCCTATATATGGGGCAATTGGTTCAAGACTTAGAGAAATTTCTACAGACTCTCATACCAGGTAAGTTGTTCGTTTTGGTTTTGTTTTGGGGATAGGAAATAGGCATATTTCATCCACTACTGGGAAGCATAGATTAGTATTACATATGGAAGTTTGTTTATTCCTTCTGATGTGTAAAGGTTTTCATAATTGAGCATTAACTGCATCAACACCAGGGTCTATAACCTTGTGCAAGTCAACATGGTGATGTTGGATCTTAGTGATCAGGGGGTGGGAATGGATTGAACTGTGGTTTTCTTAACACAACTAAAGTAACAAGCTGTATGTTTTACCATGTGAATGGGATTACCGATACACAGGGATATTTATCCAGAGTTTCTCTTCTCTTTGTTTTGTAGAACAATGGGACGCAAATGGGGGAATTGGCCAGAAGAAAGAATGGCTTTGGGTTTGGTGAAGTGGACCAAAATGTGAAGGTTAGTATTTTGAGATTTTGGTTTCCTAGGCCCATGTCTTTGCTTCATCATACACAGTCACAGCCTCCGTTTACCATTTTGGCCCAAACACTTGGAAGATAGTCTCCCCACTGGCAGTGTTTCCCCTGCCATGTGCCGATTACTAATGCCAGTAAAATACCCAGGTACTTTGGCAGTAACTTATGCAAATATGTATGTTTCTAATTACAGAGAAATTGTTAGAACACGACTTGGACTAGCAATACACAGTTATAAATCCAGGAAGAAATCATACTTTGTTTTCTAACAGAAGAAAATAAGAACTTCATCTTATTCATTTTTTCCTGTTCTCTCTCCTGTTTGTTTTGATGCCCATGCATAGGCAATATCATAAACTGGCAATACAAGAAGCTCTTGCAAACGGTGTGGCTGTTTCTTCTCAGACATTGGACATCCTACATCTGTGACCTGGTTTACCATCCATCCCCTTTGTTGCTATAGCAGCATGTCCGGAATTCTGTGTCCTACCATTGTTCTTTACCAATACCATGTACATTCTTAAATAATAAATGTAAATTAATTAAAGTTGTTATTTTAAAATATATATCTATATAGTGTATGTGCATCCTTTTTTTCTGCTTTTTCCAACCTTTTTCTTGCTGATCAAAAGGTTAAGCCTGAGAGTGATGTGTGTGTATGGAGACTGAATGCACTAGAGGTTCAAATGGACAAGGAAGTTGTTTTGTAAAATCACACAGTCCTATTCTTGACTGTGCTATTATAATTTGCATTTTCAAATCAGTAGGTCTCCAGCCTTAGGACAGTGCTACTATTATTGTTTGTGGATTTTGCAACCTAATCTTGACTCATACAGTGAACCACACAAAACACCTGAGGCCAGGTTCCCAGTCCATAGGAACTGCCTTTCCATTAATTAGAGTCTCATTCTTCAAGATCCCATTAAGAATTCTCAATTTCTTGACTGTACAATTCTGTCTGCTTATCAATGAAGCAGGGGATGCCGTACTATTCCCTTTGCTTCACCATGTCTGAAAAAGGAGAGAAATTTGGTGACATACATGAGCAGCAATAAATGTGTGTTCTGCTCTCTCCTAGAACAAACCTGGCAAAGTGTTTAAGAGCACGGTGCAGAGCCTGGGCAAGTCGTGGGAGCTTGGAGGCACTGAGTGGGGTTAGAAACTAGCAGATGGAGGATGTGCTATGGAAACATGTCCATTCAAACTCAGGACTGAGCTGCCTCCCAATCATCTACGTTGTTTCTTACAATAGCTGGCAACTTGCGTATGACATGGAATGTTCACCACTGAAAATGGGGACTGTGCTTACCTTTGGGGGTAAATGATGAGTAAATGGCAAAGGAGCTACAGAGGTGTTGCTGAAAGAAGGCATTCTGCTTACTAGAAAATGCACCAGTTGCTGTGGCAGACAGGCACAGTCTTTGTTACATTTTAATATTTTTATTATTATTTTTTTGGTGTCTCACAAAGACTTTTTCCAAGGTGTGCTAGTTTCAACATCAGTCAACGTTCATTTGTTGAGCATTACTTTACAAGGTAGGCATCAGGGATATGAAGATAAATAAGACATGGTCCCTGCCCTCCAGTAGGTCACAGTTTAGAGGTATCTCCATGATAAAAATAACAAGCATTTATTGAGCACCAACCATATCCCCTCAAGTGTATTACCTCATTTAATTAAAGACATTAAATAACTTGTCCATGGTCACAGAACGAGTTAAATGGTCACAGCAGGATTGTGATGTAAGCCCAGATTTCTCCAATTCTAGAGCCTATGCTCTCAGAAAACATGACTGAATGACTAGGATGATAAAACAGCACGTTCTCTGATTAGCAAATAGACATCAGAGTCCAGGGACAGAGCTCCTCACTATCATTAGGCCTCTGTCCTAATCTCCCCTTGCCAATAAATAAGAATCCACATGTCCGGACCTGGTACTTATTCTCAGGATTCCCAGAAACACCACCCCCAGCCCTCCCTTCATTCAATAGCCTGTGTATCCTTCTGCATCATTGGTAACTTTGTCCATGTTTACCCAAAGTGTCACAGTCCTTACTAGTTCTCAAGAGACAAGACCTCATAGGACAGTTAACACCCTGAGTTCCTCAGAAATACCTATCTCCAAGATCAGAGCTCACTTTGGAAAGTGTGTCTCCATATACTCCAGTCTAGGCTGATTTTGTATTTTCTTAGCCTATCAATATCACAGATTATTTATATTTTGCCATTTATTTTATTTGAAGAGAGAAAAAGGAAAAGAAATTTGACTAGGTGGCTTCTTATCCATTTTTTCTCTGATTATCACCAAAAGCCTGAATGTCTGAACTTTGTCAGTGGGCATATTTTTACCTTGTAGGATTGTTAAGCAGGTTCATAAAAGAAATGTCACAAGTGCCTTGAAGGTATTACTTCACAGATGGTAAATGTTACTATATATTGGCTTCATGTATTGCCCTTCCCAGGAACATTTGTGTTTCAATAGAAGATAAGCAACCAAACCAGTGAATTAAAGCAGTGAATTTCTAATTGTAGAAGTGTCCTCTTCTGTTATCCAGTGGAAAAGTTAAATATATATTTTGACAGGCTGCATGTGGGGAAGGCAGGTTCCTTGAAATACACCTTGTGTAATACTCATCATTCGGGAGCTCTGGGTCTATTTCTACCAGATAGTGATAAAATATTTGAGGATTAAAGTATAGGCATAACAATGGGTTACATGTAGTAAGAGCTAACATTATATACTAGTGAGTTCTAAATTTATTTTACATTTATTAACTCATTGAATCCTCTCAACAACCCTATAATGTAGGTGTCATTAGGAATCCTCATTTTACAAATAAGGAAACATAGCCTAAGAGAGATTATATAATTTGTTCAAGACTGCTTAGTCAAAAGGCAGGTGGGGGATTTGGATCAGATTTTTCCTGACATCAAAGTTTGCATTTTCCACTAAATTGCACTGTATTTAATATCACAACAAAGTCAACTGCCTGCCCGTCCCAGGCTGACCCTGTATGTTCTTGGCAAATCTCATTTAGAGGGAAAGAGGTACCTTTTAAGTGGTAGTTAATCAATGATTAAATTTAAGTTTCCAACCTAGGCCACCTGGGAAGTGGCAAGAGTGGGATGGCTGTGTTTTGGGGAAAATACTGGTTATATTTGTAGTCATGGCATACAATGTTGCCTGTATTCCTGAGTGGATGCCAGGAGGTGAGGCCAGGGCAGGGGTTGTAGCACATGGTATATGTTGTCTGCCCTCAGAGCAATATCAACTTGGATAGCCATGGTGCCGGGGAGTGAAAATTCCTTCCAGTGGGCTGCGCCCTGTTTCCTGTCATCTCTGAGGATCAAGCAGGATAGCATGAATGGAAGGGACATGGGATGAGGCATCAGGAAAATGTCAGAAAGAAAGAGAAATGCGAGTCTCTAAAGGAGGTTTCAACTTCTCACTCCCTGCAATTAGAAAAGAGGTGATAAGGACCATAAAAGGGTAAGGGAGAGATTATAGATTTAGGCAACTCTTACCAGGCTCGTGGCGGAAAAATAAGATATGTCCAGTAGCAGAGCTATGGAAACTATTAGAAACTGAGCTAATTGCAGACTTCTTAGTGTGCCTCAGGAAATGGGAAGGCATTTTTCCGTTTGGGGCTTGTGTTTTTTCCAATTTGCCTCGTTCAGGAAAGAATTCATTCTTTGAGCAATGTAACCTCCTGCTATGATTTCTCAACTCCACAAAGAAGAATAATTATAGATTAATAATGGCCCAAAATAGAAAATGCTAAATGTGGGTGGCAGATAACTGGAAAATGTTCCGCCTTGTAAATTGTATTATTTCAGTTCCTGTCAACAGAGAGGAACAATTCTTACCTAGGCAACTCTAAATGAATGCTAGAATTCACCTCTCTTCCTGACGGGTATAAATGTTTAGCCTCAGTGGGACTAGGGCCATGAAGTGTCCTAAGCTTGGTCAAGAATGAGAAAAACATCGCATATCACAGAAACTTTTTCTTCCTTGGGCTGAGAGATTTGTGCCCTATCACACACATGATAGCTGGGCACTGTTTTCAGGATATTTCTCCGCAGTAAAACTTAAAGTTTTAATTTATTGGGAAGATTCTGTGGATCAGATGCTGAGCTAGATATTTTCCACATGTTAGTCATTCATACAATTGTTCTGGAAAAGCCACCATGTGTCAGGCTCTATGCTGGGGGGCTCAAAGCACTACTTTCTGTCTCTTGAGTCTAACAATGCCTCTGAAAAATAGGTAGGATTATCCCTACCCATTTTATAAATGAAAAAAAAAAGTGAGATTCAGAGAAGTTAAATAACATACACAAAGCCATGCAATTAATATGTGACAAATGGAAATCAAATTGTTTAGAGTCCCCTAACTTATTAAACTCTCAATGCCCCCAGTAGTCCAGACCAGGACCTATATCTGGGACCCACAGTCCCAGAGCAAGCCTCAGCCCCTGACACTCTGTGCCTTGCAAAGTGACACTGGCCTAATTTGACAAAATAATTTAAAAAGCTAAGGCTAGGAGAGATTGACGGCACTCATTCTCTCCTCAGGTACATTTGAACAGCGGCCTTCGAGAGGCACCATGCCTGTGTTTCTGTCTGATAGTTAAATGTGGGGACGGATGAAGAAAGCTGGCAGACAAACGAGGAGGAAGGCAGGTGTTTCAGTAAATGCCTCTTGAAGCTGACCCTTTCTAGTTTCACTTATGGCCTGGGTTCTGGGAACTGTCATCATGGTAACCACAGAGTCTCTTTGGTTTCCTCATTGGTTGACTGGGTAAAGATATCCGCGTATCACAAAAGTGTTCTCAGGGGATTTCTCCCCCAAACCCAGGGAGACTTGTATTTAAAAGCACCTGTAGTCAAACTGAAGGAAAACAAAGTTCACAAAAATGATATTAGCTCAAGTTGATGAGTTGGTGGCTTTCTGTGCAATCACTGTTGAAATAGCCCCGGCTTACTGACCAAAACAGCTCTCTGTTACCTGGCAGTCAGAGAAGAGCATTTGCATAATCTGGACCTACTTTCTGTAGGTCCCTTCTGCTGTGTATGCTGCTCTGCACTGTGAACTATTATATTTATAGTCATGCAAATAGCTTGATCTGTAGTTCTTTAAATGTTTCTGGTTAACAGTCTACAAACCTCAGTGTTTTACATTTGCCAAAAATGTCTGATAAAAAGGTCTCTTTCCACAGCGAAAACACTATCAGGTCATTCTTTCTCATCTAAAAATGTGTAATAAAATCAAGTGACTTCAAAATTCTAAAGAATTAGAAGTCAATAAAACTCACAAATATTTCTTTTTTAATGATTCTGAATATACTTTAGGATGTT